CAAGTCAGGCGGGGAACGTTGGAGTCCGCCGTCACTGGAGCAAGCAAGCCTCCCTGTTCGCTTCAGTGCATGGCTGCCGGCCGCCATCTTGGCTGACAGTTAATTTGCATAAGGATATGCTGATTAGCCAATGGGAAGGGTAGTGGTCGTACGCTAATTACCATGTTTCTCTTTTATTAGTGTAGATACTTGTGTGGGTCTATTCGCTGTTCCATTGATCTATGTGTCTGTCCTTTCACCAATACACTGTCTTAATTATTGTACTTCAGCTTACTTTTCTTCTATTGTTACAGTCCCCCGATGGTGTTATACATTAAATATCCAAGACGGAGAAGCCACATGCTATTCACCAAGGGGAGGGAATTATCACAGCAGCTTGGGCACTCGTTGTGAGCTCTCCTGTGACCGGGGTTTTCGACTGATTGGGCGAAGGTCGGTGCAATGCTTGCCAAGCCGCCGCTGGTCTGGAACTGCCTATTGCAGACGTAAGTGGTGCGTGTGCAGATGCTGATGTGTATATGTGAGAAAGATCAGCAAGCCAGCTACTGAGTGTATATGCCTGGAGGCGTTACTATGCCCTCTGTCAAGTGAAAATTAAGAATTTTTCACAGGCACCCAAAATGGCCTTTCTCCATCCTAACATTTTAGCTCATTTTCTCTCCCTGTGTTTATTGCCCAATTAACATGAGCATTTAAATAGCAACCAGCTCTTCTGGCTCAGGGAAGCAAAGGAGTGCATGTAAGACTTGGGCCTGGGGCTTATGTGGACCTAGGCCTTCTTTTGGCACTCTCAAGGATGTGTGGTCTCAGACTCTTTCCCAAACTGCTATACTTCCTGGCCTAAGGCCTTAGGAGGCCTTGGCAGTGAAGCTATGAGACACCTGTTATTCTTTATTTTCTTCAGAAAGCCACAAAGAGTCCTTAGTATGTGGGGGTGCTAATACACACATTCCAAACCATGTCCCTCTCAGCTCCCAAATCTCTATCTTATTCCAGCGCTACAGGCTACCCTTTTTTAGCAGTTGAGCTTTGTCTGTCTATATGTCTATCTCTGAATGACATTTGAAGGACCCCCATGTGTGCAGGGCTCTGTATTGGTTGTTTCAGGAGCTTACTCAAATCTCAATTCCTCCCAGGCAGCTTATAGACTAATGGATAGGAACACAAATATGTGCACATGAAGGCAGTGTGACCAGACACAGAGTGCTGAGCATTCAGAGATATTGGGTTAGTCAGAAAAGATGCTGTGGAGAAGAAAAGCTTTATAGTTAGAAATAAGGAAGCCACTACACCCCTTTAGATGTCCGTAATTAATTATTTTAAGAGTTGGATGCCATTGTTTACAAAATAAATTAGAATTAGCCTCACAAACTGAAATAATATAAGTCCATAAATGAACATAAAACCAATTAAAAGAATGGAGATGTACATATTTCCAGGTGCCTAGAATGACTTAATTACTATATTTGTAGAGTGAATCTGACTTTGCCCTTTCTCATAAGTGACAAAAGGGCAAATGCTTTGGATGTATCATTGTCACTGTCATATAATACTAAGAAAACAAATTCATCTGTAAAGACAAACATTTTTTCTTGGCCCTGATTTCAAGGAAGTAATTTTTGCATGCAGAATACTAAAAAACATAAAAGGCAATAATCTTCAAGCCTGGTTTGACCAAGAAGCAAAATGAACATAGCTTGTAGAGTCTTTATGCAAAGCTCCAGTAATTGAATTTATGCAGGGTTAGAACTTAGAAATGTAAAGGGATGTGTGGCTTGCCCACTTGTTTCAAGTATCAGATATCTCAAGCTAGACTTTGGTAAGCATAGGCTCACAATCAACTCATGGTAGCAGTCTCCACTTCTGGCACATGTGGTATCTAAAGCATATGGATTCCCCTTTAGCCAAAGTTGGCCCTCCAGGCACTGGCCTGACTTGTATTCTCACACAGTGAGAGGGCCAACCTACTTTCACATGTAAGTGGCCTCAGCTGAGGAGTGCTTGTGGCAATACCAAAACTATCGATATACTAGAGGCCCGGTGCACGAAATTTGTGCATGGGTGGGGGAAAGGTCCCCTCAGCCCAGCCTGCACCCTCTCACAATCCTGGACCGCTGGTTCCTAACCGCTCACCTGCCTGCCTGCCTGATTGCCCCTAACTGCACCCTGTGGAAGCCTGATCATCCCTAACTGCCTCTGCCTGCCCACCTGATTGCCCCTCACTGCCCCCCCTGCTGGCCTGGTTGCCCCTAACTGCCTCTGCCTGTTGGCCTGGTTGCCCCCAACTGCCCCCTTGCTGGCCTGGTCGCCCTATGCAGCCTGCTGCTCAGTTGTTTGGTCGCCCCATGCAGCCTGTTCAGTCGTCCATTCGGTTGCAATGGTCGCTTAGGCTTTTATATAGATAGATATAAAAGCCTAATATGCAAAGTGTCCACTTGGGAGTTCAACCTGGAGACCAGGAGTTTGATCGTTCACTATGATGTGCACTTACCACCAGGGGGAGGTGCAGAATGAAAGCAGCCAGGGAAGGAAGGCCCTGGCTGGCAGCTGGAAGGAAGGCCCCAGACGGCAGCCAGAAGGCCCTGATCAGCCCTGATCACCAGCCAGGCCTAGGGACCCTACCCATGCAAGAATTTCATGCACCGGGCCTCTAGTATTCAAAAAGGAGCTTTGAATTTGCTCAAGGATATCTAACATTTGAGGAACGAGAGGTAAAAATGAATAGCAGCTGAGGCCCTAAATGAGCCCAGACATTTATATGCATTATCCCTTTTATGAAGTTCTATGAAGTATCCCCATTTTTAAAAAATATGTATATTTTATTGATTTTGGAGAGGAAGGGAGAGGGGAGCTAGAGAGATAGAAACATCAATGATGAGAGAGAATCATTGATTGGCTGCCTCCTGCACGCCCACTACTAGGGGTCAAGCCTGCAACCCAGTCATGTACCCTGACTGGGAATCGAACTGTGACCTCCTGGTTCATAGGTTGAAGCTCAACCACTGAGCCATACCAGCCAGGCTGAAGTATCCACATTTTAGTGGTGAAAACACTGAGACTCAGAGAGATGAGGTAACTTCAAGTCAGAGAGCTTGTAATGAGTGGAGCTGGGTTCTAAACTCAGGTGTGATTCTCAAGTCCATTCACTTGGACAAGTAATTTACTTCTTTGAGAAACACCCCTCCCCAGCACTACTGTACCTTATAATCTTATATAATAAAAGCCTAATATGTTAAGTGTCTGGTCCACCAGTCAGCCATTCAACCAATCAAAGTGTAATATGCTAATGATATGCTAAGGCCACTCAACTGCTCACTATGACGCACACTGACCACCATGGGGCAGACAGTCAACCAGTTGCTATGATGTGCACTGATCACCAGGGGGAAGATGCTCCAACTGGTAGGTTAGCTTGCTGCTGGGGTCCAGCCAATCAGGACTGAGTAAGATGGGCCAGACACACCCTGGAGCCCTCTTGGGGTCCCTCCTCAGCGGGCCAACCTCCTGCATCTCTCCCTGGCCCCGATCATGCACCGTGGGGTCCCTCGGCTTGGCTTGCACCATCCCGCAATCCGGGATGCCTTGAAGGTTGTTGGAGAGCCAGTTTCGGCCCTATCCCACAGGCCAGGCCGAGGGACTCCACTGGTGCATGAATTTGTGCACCGGGCCTCTAGTATAAAAATAAGAAAGCAATTAGTAAAAAGAGCCAATTAGGCACAAAAATGTAAGGGCAGTTTGGGGTAGGGTTTTCTGTGTTTAATGCTATCTCTGATATGGTTCTCCCTGTGCTAGATGCCATCACCTCCAGATAGTCCCATAAGCCACTGAGCTTTCTACTTGGTTTTCTCTTAGAGATGAGATGCCACACATTGCCATTCATTACGAGTGGCACCTACACCTGCACAAATGGTGTGCTTCTTGACTCCCGTTGTGACTACAGCTGTTCCAGTGGCTACCACCTGGAAGGTGACCGCAGTAGAATCTGTATGGAAGATGGTCAATGGAGCGGAGGCGAGCCTGTATGTGTAGGTAAATGTTGGTTTGCTCCCAGTTGTCCTGCTACAAAGAGTCATCCTGGTATTGTGTCCACAAAGGATGTGGAATCCTTATAGCAGAAGGCTTTTCTGCTTGCTATGAGGATGGCACTCTGGACACATGCTTAAAGAAGTGATCATTTCCCCTGCAACTGGTGTTTTCCCCCAATTTCATTAAGCATCTTGAATAGAGAGTGTATGTTTTACCTACCCAGTGGTGCAATATTACTTCTATGGGTTCCCTTCAGGGAAGACAGGGGGCCCATGAGTCAGCACCTAATTTCTGACCTTGGCAGACATAGATCCCCCCAAGATCCGTTGTCCCCACTCACGTGAAAAAATGGCAGAGCCGGAGAAACTGACTGCTCGAGTATACTGGGACCCACCTTTGGTGAAAGATTCTGCTGATGGTACCATCACCAGGTGAGTAATAGATGCCCCTTATGCCTCCCAGCAGCTTCTCCCACGCTCTCAGGCTGAGACTACTGTGATGATGTGCCCCTGATCCTAAGAGTCTCTTTCCTTAGTGCAGCAGTTCTCAACCTGTGGGTCGCGACCCCTTTGGGGGTCGAACGACCCTTTCACAGGGGTCGCCTAAGACCATCGGAAAACACATATATAATTACATGTTGTTTTTGTGATTAATCACTATGCTTTAATTATGTTCAATTTGTAACAATGAAAATACATCCTGCATATCAGATATTTACATTACGATTCATAAGTAGCAAAATTACAGTTATGAAGTAGCAACGAAAATAATTTTATGGTTGGGGGTCACCACAACATGAGGAACTGTATTAAAGGGTCGTGGCATTAGGAAGGTTGAGAACCACTGCCTTAGTGATTATTTCACTCTGTGCCATGTAGGGTGACACTTCGGGGCCCTGAGCCTGGTTCTCACTTTCCCGAAGGAGAGCATGTAATTCGTTACACTGCCTATGACCGAGCCTACAACCGGGCCAGCTGCAAGTTCATTGTGAAAGTACAAGGTTCGTCCAAAAGAAGTCTTCCATTTCCACATTGTTCATTATTCCTGCTCTGCCCTGACCTTGTAGATGCTCACCACAACCCTCTCTTTTCTATGCCTGAAACAGACACTCATGGGAGAGGGGAAAAACAAGTTCACTAAAAAGGGTTATTCAGGAAGCCTGCATGATATTGTGCATACATACGTTTCAGAAACCCTGACCCCCCAACAGGATTTTTTCATTCTCCTAACTCTAGATAAAATTTACAAAGATATTCTGTATCCCTTTTCTTGGCCTTCTAATCATCAAATCTAATCAGCCTGCATCCTCAGTCTTTCACCTTTGCTAAAATTGGTGGTGTTGCATGCCTGATTTTACCCCTTTGTTTAGTGTTGTTTTGTTTTGCTTTTTCATTATTAATATAATTTATACTCAGTTTTGAACTGTGGAAAATATAGAAATATACAAAGGAAAAGTATATATTACCCCATTGTCCAGAAGCAACCTTTTAGTATTTTCTTTCCAGCCTTTTATCTACACATACTTTTAAAAAACATATAGTTGAGATCATACTGTATATCCAATCTTAGATCACCCTTTTCATTATAACACAAATAATTTCCCATGTTCTTTAAAAATTCTTCAGAAATATTTTAATGACACCATAATAATCTACTTCTAAGAATATAATTTGCTTAATATTTCTCCCACTGATGGATATTTAAGTCTTTATCTATTTATTTTTAATATTAAAATTAATTTTATAAGGTGGTCATCCTTATGTAGGGTGTCTACAAAGTCTGAAAACAAAAATGTCAATATTTATTTTACAGAATGATGACAATATGTATATTCACTTGTCCTTCCAGATTTTTTGAACACCTTTGTCTACATTTCATATTTAATTCCTTAAGAAAATTCAGCCTTTATCCTCAGTCATTGGAAATATGAAGTCATTCATTCTGATCATCCTAGGTCTAGAAAACCCATGCTGATCTAGAAAACCCAGCATGAGCACCCTCTTAACCTTTTTTTTTCTTAAAAGAGCTACCATAGCCCCTAACTTGAACTCCTCACTGACAGTGAGACGCTGCCCATCACTGAAACCACCACAGCATGGCTACCTCACCTGCACCTCAGCCGGGAACAACTATGGCGCCACCTGTGAATATCACTGTGATGGAGGTTATGAGCGCCAAGGGACTCCCTCCCGAGTCTGCCAGTCCAGCCGCCAGTGGTCAGGATCACCGCCCATCTGTGCTCGTGAGTGAAACCAGGGAATGAGGAGAGTGAATATATTGATCATGGCTACTTTGGAGGATCTCCAAATGTGTATAGCACAGGGATTCAATAGTAATGTGTGTGATATGAGAATGGGGGAGTGTTCTAAAATGTGTTTATTTTAGGGGCTAGTGTTATCTTTCTGAACAGTCCTACTCCAAGATGAAGTGTTTAAAATTTCCAAGTGTTCTTTCAGGATTTCCCCCAAGGAAAGGGAGAAACAACCAAAAAGGGTTATCCTGAAAGACTGGAGTTCCTAAAGATATTGTTACCCATGCTGGGGTGAAGGAGAAGGCCATACTCTGACTGGCCATCTGCTTCTGCCCTAGCTATGAAGATTAATGTTAATGTCAACTCAGCTGCTGGCCTTCTGGATCAGTTCTATGAGAAACAACGCCTCCTCATCATCTCAGCTCCTGATCCCTCCAACCGATATTACAAAATGCAGATCTCTATGCTACAGGTGAGACCTAATCCCCTAATTCAGGCTTAGCTTCTTTATATACCCCCTAACCCCACCCCATTATTCCCTTACCTCTTCCAAATCAGAGTTGCTTTTTCTATAGCACAAACTCTATTTCCTCAAACTCTTTATGGACATTGACCAGTTTTACTCTAGACAAATTTATCACACTTTAAAAACTGCTATGTTTTTATTAAAAAGGCAGTGAGGAGCCTGGAATGGTGGGTATGATTTACAGGGGGCTTGGTGAGGGTAGGTAGGGAGTATGGTAGAGCACTTGTAAAATAAGTATGATTAAATGTAAATGTTGGGATGAAATTATGCTTATGTTTTCAAGGAATAATAGCATTAACAAATACTTATATGGTAAGTGCTAGATGGGTACCAGGTATATAAGTATGTGTTTTATGTATATTCATTTAATTCTCAAAACAACCCTTAAGAGGTAGGTACTATTACTATCCTCATTTTAAAGGTAAGGAAACTGAGGCATAGAGAGTTTAAAGATTTGCCCAGCCAATAAGGACAGTGACTCTGAAAGTCAGGACTAGAGGAGTAGCCCAAAGATTAGCTAGAAGTGACTGGGCCAGGATTAAACTCAGTCTGACTCAAGGATCTGTGCTCTTAACCAATACTTGTAACAGAAGAGAAAGACAAGTATTGTGATATCTCAAAGTAAAATGAGGGAATTGCACAATGAGTTTTAACACGCTGAGATACCTAGCCAAAGGCACTTATGGGGAAGGAAAGGTGAATAGGACAGAATAGATATGAACATTGGGATTTATAAAGAAAATAGACTAGGATCTTGAAGAGAACTCAGGGTATGATGACTAGCCTAAGAGAACCAGCTCTAAGGAGCTGCAAAGGTGTTTTCTAAAGGTTGAATCTTACAACTTGCCAAGAGGCCCATGGTGGAAGCAGCTTTATAAAAAGCATGACCCTGGGTATCTAGACCAATAAGGACCAAATTCCTCCAGGGATCCCCGCCCCCCCCCAAAAAAAAGGCAAGCAAAGGCAATACCTCAGCTTGAACAGAAAGCAAGAACAAGAACTGGAACCAGCCAATAAGGACAGTGACTCTGAAAGTCAGGACTAGAGGAGTAGCCCAAAGATTAGACAAGGGGTTGGGCACCAGGGAGTGTTCACTGAGACTTTAAACCTCACCCCAGGTAACTGGCTCAGAGATAACCCTGCAAGGCAATGCAGGACAAAGAGCCAGGGTAGAATTACAGGGTGTACTGCCTGGTGTGAGGAAGGCAACAAAGGGTAATGAGAAGAACACTGGCACGATTTCTGAGAAATCCTGGAGACAGAGATTGTAGCCTAGTGGTAAGGAGCACACACTTGGGTAGGCAGTAGCAGCCCTAAGTTTAAATCTTGGCTAAGAATTTTACTGTCATGCAAGTTTGAGCAAGCTACTTTTTTACTCTACAGAATAAGAATATCACCTGCCTTGTTAGGGGTAAGTTAGATTATGCCTGCAAAGCATTAGGTATGTATATTCAGTAAATAATAGCCATTATTATCATATCACAATAGCTATCCATTAAGAACCTAGGTAGCTTCCAACTGTAATAAAATAAGTTATGGTGACTATAGTTAATATTGCATTGTACTAGTATATTTTAAAGTTGCTAATAGAATAGAGTTTAATAATTCTTATTACAAGAAAAAATTGTAACTATGTATGGTAATAGATGTTAACTAGACATCTTGTGATCATTTCATAATATATAAAAATATTGAATGATTATGTGGTATACTTGAAATTAATATTACATGTCAATTAGTATCTCAATTTAAAAAAAGAACCTACATAGTTTAAAACCTATAAAAAATGAAGGAAGTAGGGATTGTGTTCCTGCAACTTATAAATTATATTTCTCTTTTCTACCCCACATGTTATAACCAGCTTCATACACTTAATTAGAATAAAGAAAACACTGTTAGGGCAAGTAAATCAGGAATGACAGAGGGAAGAGGTTGTAGAACCCATCATGTGATGGTTGGGAGAGAAGACCCTCCTTTCCCACACTGCCTCACTGTGGTCCCTGGAAGAATCAGCGAAGTAGTCTTAGGTTTGAGTCTGAGACCCTATTCCATAAAACCTTCTCTCCCCTCCCAGCAATCCACCTGTGGACTGGACCTGCGGCATGTGACCATCATCGAGCTGGTGGGGCAGCCACCTCAGGAGGTGGGGCGCATCAGGGAGCAACAGCTGTCAGCCAACATCATCGAGGAGCTCAGGTCCAGGCTGAAGGGCCACAGGGAAGGGGTGGGCAGAAACCCTAGGTGAAACACTGGCAACGGGAGGGTGTGGGAGAATCAACTATACTACTCTCTTGGGGCACTACTGTGTTTGAACTCTTTGGGTACATTAGTTAAGATCAGAGAGTGGCCATATATCAGAATCAAATGGAGGGGGGCTTAAAATACAGAGGACCAGGCCCCATCCCAAACCATCTCAGGACTGTGCTTTCTTTTTTTTTTTTTTCAATAAGGCATATCCCCTGACTCTGAAGTACAGCCAGAGCTGAGTCACAGGCCCAAGCATGACTCAGATAGGCCTCTGATCCTGTTGCCTCATGGCCTCATCTCTTAAACTTGGACCTCCAATAGGCAGTGAAATCTGAATCATATCTATCTGCCCTTGGGGGAAGAACAAACTATTGGTGACATGTGGTAGAAGTTGACTTTTCTCATTATCTATCCATTATCACCCTTCCAATGCCTCCACATATACTCAGAGCCAATAAAGCCACCACACCTCTCTTTTCTAGATACACTACCTGCCTCTAGGTCTCATTCCATAGGGACAAAAAGATTCAGTCCCAGGTAGGGGAGAGACTGAGAAACACTCAGAGGAAGGAGACTGTAGACTTGCAGCTACAGATGCAAGAATTGATCAGGTGAATTGATCTACCTATAAGCTATCATGTATGGTTGTGCAAGTATGCCCAGCTCAATTCTAGAAAACACTAGTCTAGAAAGCACTGTGACTGGTGCTCCTTGGACTTATTCTGTGCAGCCCACATTACTATATGAGAGAAACATCACCTAGTAATAATGTAGCTGCTCCATCTGCGGTGAGGAAGGGACAGCTTAGCAGAGCCAGACATACAAGGTCAGCAAGTGCAGAGTCAGAGCAGAGAAAAACAAAGGGTTTTGAGATAGGTAGTGGAGACAAGGACTCGGTTGGGGAAGGAATTAGTCCATCAGTGGAGCTACAAAAGGTCAAAGGGTAATACAGCCTAATGGAATGAAGCCCAGACAAGATCTCACACTTCCCTGGACTCCTCTCTCTAGGCAATTCCAGCACCTCACTCGCTCCTACTTCAACATGGTGTTGATTGACAAGCAGGGAATTGACAGAGAACGCTATATGGAACCTGTCACCCCGGAGGAAATCTTCACATTCATTGATGACTACCTACTGAGCAATCAGGAGCTGACCCAGCGTCGGGAACAAAGGGACGTATGCGAGTAAACTTGAGCCAGGGCATGGTTGAGGTCAAAGGAAAAGCTCTCCTAGGTGGCTGAAACCAGGGTCTAATAAAAGGAGGAAATGGTTTCCCATAATTCTAGGGACAGGACTGTGAGGTAGATGAGGTTCACCAATCTTGGGACATTTTCAGGAACCTTTTTAGGACTGCATAATAGTTTCCCTAAGCAAGTCTCTGCTTTAGGTAGCACTGGAGGAGCATAAGAAGCAACGTAGAGACTGAGAAGCGGCCCTGGACAGTGGGTTGGTGGTAGGTTTTCCTTTCTTAAGCTGGGCTTCTCCCAGCTCTTCAAAGTCTTCTAGATAAGTAAATCCTAAATTCATTCACTAACTGGCTGTGGGTTTTGTGTGCTGTTTTTTGTTGTTTTGTTTGTTTTGTCTTTTACATTAGTAAGCATTTAATAATGTTGTTTGGTCATTTTTTATAGCACTATTCTTTGTGACTCCTTTCTATATTTGGGGCTTACCAGTATACACAAACATTTAAGTTAGTACTTTGAAACAACAAGTTTGAGGTTTTTTGTGTTGCAACATGTATAACGTGTTTTATTGAAGGGCCATCTGGATTAGGGGGACTGCCAGGTTTTAAGGGGAAGCCTGGTGACACCAGAATACCTTACAACCTGCACAATGATAGAGGCTTTATTTTCAACCGGTATAGTCAAACCACAGCAATTCCTTCCTGTCCTGAAGAAACAAAGTCACTCTATCATGGGTTTTCCCTTCTTTTTGTTCAAGGAAATGAACAAGCTCATGGACAAGATCTGGGTAATGTCCCAGCCCCAGTCAGTTCCCAGTTACTTTGCTCCAAATTCAGATTGTAAATTTTTTATGGCATGGGATTCTTCTCTCTGAAATTAAGTGTAAACAACCTTGGGTATTTTACAGCACTTTTTTAAAGAGAGTAAACAAAACATTGGCTTCATGTCTAATTTTTCTTCTGGAATGCAAAATCTTTTTAATTAAAGTATAATTGATATACAATATAATATTAGTTTTAGGTGTATAACATAGTTAGACTTCACATTTATTCACCTTACAAAGCGATCACCACAAAAAGTCCACTAACTATCCTATATAATAAAGAGGTAATATGCAAATTAACCTTCATGCCCTCACAAGATGGCTACCTATGACCAGGTCGGCAGGGGAGGTTAGTAAGAGACGACCAAACAACTGAACAGCAGGCTGCATGGGGTGACCAGGCCAGCAGGGGGGGGAAGTTAGGGGTGATCAGGCCAGCACACAGAGGCAGTGAGGGGCAATCAGGCTGGGCTGGGGGGCATTTAGGGGTGATCAGGCAGGCTATGGGCAGATGAGTGATTAGGAGCCAGCGGTCCAGGATTGTGAGAGGGATGTCCCAGATTAGAGAGGGTGCAGGCTGGGCTGAGGGGG